TGGGTTCTTAGTGGCACAAGGGTGAGTTGTGGGGGGAGGGCACACTCGCGTTTCTTCATATAAAAACATTAATCCTATGAGATCAGGGCCAAACCCTTATGACCTCCTTTAACCTTAATTACTTTCTTAGAGGTTCCATCTCAAGCATGAGCCACACTAAGGGGTTAGGACACATGAATTCTGAAAGGACATAAACATTCCATCTATAATAGTAAGAAGCTCAAATTAGCCATCAAACCCCTAAGACAAAAGTGAACTATATATGCTCCATCTCAAGACAATATGAAGATAATCATATTAAATAATAGCTCAGAAAAAGCCAAACTGTTTTATGCAAAAGGGAAACTTTTAGTTTGAATGGCACAAAAATAATGCTGGAGACAGAGCTGCATAAACAGAGGAATGAAACCCCAAACCAGCCCTGGCCGGTTTGGCTCAGCGGTTGGAGCATCGGCCTGCGGTACAGAGAGACCCAGGTTCGGTTCCCGCTAAGGGCACGTACGTCAGTTGCAGTTTGTCCCCGGCCCTGGTTGGTTGTGAGGGTGGCAGCCACTCGATGTGTCCCTTCACATCGATGTTTCTCTCTCTCTCTCTCTTCCTCTCTCTCCCTCCCGCTCTATCTGAACAAAAAATGGAAAAATGTCCTCGGGTGAGGGTAAAAAAAAAGAAACCCCAAATCACAAAATGTGAGGTTAAATATGCTTGACGTCACCCTGCTTCAAAAATTTCTCAAATCCAACAGTAAGGGAAAAGACAAATCTATGTAATATTACTATGAACTCAAAGGTCATAGATGATCTCAAAAACACACCACAGGCGCAATAAGGTACAGCCCTGGCCAAATAAAGCCAGGATGCTAAGCATCAGTGGCCTTGTTGGCCACATGAGACAGTTCTATGGACTCCCATAGTCCAGAACAATCAAACTTCTTTGCGAAGGGTCTTGTTCTCAATATTTTCTTATTTTTCACACAGGGAAAATTTTATTAAATAAAATAATGACAAGCTATTACTTTAAATGTTTAAAATATTTTACTAAAGAAACTTCAGGTCAAGATGGCAGACTAGGTAAAAGCTGTGCTCACCTCTTCCCACAACCACATCAAAACTGCAACTAAATTACAGAACAATCATCATTAAGAACCACTTGAAGACTAGCTGAACATAAATCCTACATCTAAGAATATAAAGAAGAAGCCATGTCAAGACTGGTAGGAGGGGCAGAGATGTGAAACAGGCAGATCGCATACCCAAAGATGGGGGTGATTAAGAAACAGGAGGAATATCAAGGCTGCAGAGGTTCTCCCTGAGAAGCAAGGGGTCCCAACCTCACACAGGGTTCACAAGCCCAGGGCTCCAGTGCCCGGAAAAGAAGTCCTGATAACCTCTGGCTGTGAAAACCAGTGGATTTTGCGACTAAGGGAGACAGGGACTGCTGGAGACCGAGGTACTGCAGGTCTGCATGCATGGACTTACATGGACTTATTCACTGATGGACTTACTTGAGCTCCAGCACTGAGGCAGCAGCTCAAAAAGTGCCAGGGTCACACAGGCAGGAGCTGAACTGACTAGCTTCACAGAAGCTCATACCTGGAGCCTAAGTGCTGGCAGACATCACTGCCCCTTTGTTGAGCCCTCTCCCCACAAAGCCATATGTGCAGGTGGGCACTAAGTCTGAGCTCCATCAACCTGGCCAACACCAATGGTCCACTCTGTTGATTCCCAGAGATGCTACCCCACCCAACTCAAATACCTGGCCTGAACCTCTTTCAGCATGTGTTCCATGCAAATGACCTTCCTTGGCTTATGCTGGAAAATCTCCCAAAGGTGCACAAACCCAAAATAAGCAGCAGCTGGTCCCAGCTTGTCCCCTACCTCTTGCTAAGCAGCCCCAAGCCCAGCACTAGTAGCTACCCACCTCACTTCACAGCTTAACCCCTCCGAGGTGCCTCCAAGACCAGTACAGGCAGCAACAGTCTGCAGATCACTTTTTACTTATTACTACCAGGTGGCTCTGGTGAGGACACAGGCAGCAGCTGATCTTGGCCTGCACCGTAGCCCCTCCTAAGAAGTCCTAGAACCAACACAGCCAGTGGCCGACTTCACACCAAACCAGAGTACCACCCAACCAGCTCTACAAATGACACACCCAAATGGAAGACTTGGCAGGCACCAGAACCCCACTAATGGAAATACTGTTCCATGGGGTCAGCCCACATACAACAGCTCCTCCACTGCAGTCAATAATATTTCTCACAGAAAATAAGCCTGAGGGTCAATGCCACTAGCAATCCAGGCTCAACTACAACAAGAGAACACACACAATTCACAAAAGGAACACTCCTGGAGCACCCAACTCAGATGACCAGGCAGACTGTGCCACTGGGCCCACAAGACACCTACTATCTACAGCCTCTCTGTCAAGACTGGCAGATGTAGCAGATTTACCTAGTACACAGAAATAAACACAAGGAGGCAGCCAAAATGAGGAGACAAAGAAACAGGTCCCAAATGAAAAAAAAAAAAAAAACACAGTACAAAAGCAAAAAAGCCAAGCAGAAAAAGACAAATATCACACGATCTCACTTAGTTGTGGAATATAATGAACTAAACAAACTGCTGAACAAAATTAACCCAGAGACATGAAGGTGGGGTACAGGCTGACAAGCCTCGGGGGGTTGTGGGGGAAGAGATAAACCACAGAACTTACATGCATGTATGCATGACCAATGAACATAGACAACAAAGCTGGGGATGGAGTGGGGGGGAAGGGGAGGAGGGTGTCAATGGGGGAAAAATAAGAAACATCTGTAACAAAAACAAATTAATAAATAATTTTTTTAAAAAGTCTAGAAAAAGAACTAAACAAAATGGAGATAAGCAATCTAACCGATGCAGAGTTCAAAACTGATTATAAGGATGCTCGAGTAACTTAGGGGAAGAATGAATGAACTCAATGAGAACTTCAGCAAAGAAGTAGGAAACAAAAATAAAGATAGAATATATTTTTTAAAAAGCAGTCAGAAATGAAGAATACAATAACTGAAATGAAGAATACTTTAGAGAGAATCAACAGTAGATTAGATGAAACAGAGGATTGCATCATCAATTTGGAAGACAAGGAAGTAGAAAACACTCAATTGGAACTGCAAAAAGAAAAAAGAATTTTAAAAATGAGGATAGTTTAAGGGGACTCTGAGACAACATTAAGCATAACAATATTTGCATCATAGGGGTACCAGAAGGAGATGAGAGGGAGCAAGGGATTAAAAACCTAATTGTAGAAATAATGATGGAAAACTTCCCTAACCTGGCAAAAGAAATAGACACGCAAGTCCAGGAAGCACAGAGTCCCAAACAAGATGAACCCAAAGAGGCCCACGCCAAGACACATAATAATTATAAACGCCAGAGGTTAAAGACAAAGAGAGGATCTTAAAGGAAGCAAGAGAGAGACAGAAAGTTACCTACAAGGGAGCTCCCATGGACTGTCAGCTGATTTCTCAACAAAAACTTTGCAGGCCAGAAGGCATTGGCATAAAACATTCAAAGTGATGAAAAGCAAGGACTTACAACCAAGCTTACTCTACCCAGCAAAGCTATCATTTAGAATAAAAAGACAGATAAAGAGCTTCCCAGACAAGAAAATGCTAAAGGAGTTCATTACCACCAAACCAGTATGGCAGTAGCCCACCCTTGACCTTTACTAACTTTTTTTTTTTTTAATTAATTTTTGTTACAGATGTTTCTCCTTTCCCCCCCACTGATTCCCCCCTCCCCCTCCCTCCTGCCCTTTCCCCAGTTTGTTGTCCATGTCCACTGTTCATGCATATAAGTTCTGTGGTTTATCTCTTCCCCACCACCCCCCTATTTAGGGGATTGTCAGTCTGTATCCCACTTCTGTGTCTCTGGGACTACCCCTTTACTAACTTTTTGGTATAGTCACACACTTGTACAATCAACATCACCATATAATTAAAGAACAATTTTATCACCCCCAAAAAGAAATCCCATAGATATTAACACTTTCTCATCTGTTCTTCCCTCAACCCCTGGCAACCACCAATCTACTTCCTATCTCTATGGGTTTACCTACTCTGAACATTTCATATAAATGAAATCATACAATATGTGTGACCTTTTGTATCTGGCTTTTTTCATCTAGTACAGTGTTTTCAAGATTCATCTATGTTCACTTCTTTAAAAAGACCCTTTTAATGAAGAATTTGAATAAAAAACAAGGCAGAGTAGAACGAACCTCTATGTATCCATCATCTAGCCTCAACAACCCTCAATGCATCCACACATCATGGTTTATTTTGAATCAAATTCCAGATGCTACGTTGTTTCTGTATAAATATTTTCATAGGACATATTATAATAGCTACTCTAAAACTAGCCTCCTGATTAGAGTTTTCCTTCTTATTTTAATGGCCTGTGAATACAAAGAACAGAATATTTTCTTCTGCTAGGCATTATTTACTTAAGAAATATACTGGATTCACATACTTGTTCTGCCTCATAAAAGCACTGAAAGGGGGAAAATGGAAATACAGTCATGAACCAAAATCTCAGAAAAATTTCTCCAGAGGCAAAGATTCAAAATAATCTGAAATGTGATAAACACCTCAATATTTCTTCTGACAGTCAGAAACACTCATATGGAGGTTGTTTACTTTTTGGTTTCCCTTGTCATTCTGGAAAAGGACTCGAGGTTATTACAGGGGGCTTTGCTTTTGTGTTTTAGCATGCACCAATTACAATCCAGGAAGCACTTCAAGTGCCAACGTGAGGACTAAATACATAGCAATTTCACACACAAAAAGAGAGTTTATAAGCCCAACAGACAGAATTTAGGTTTTTTTAAATTTTTGTTTTAGGAAAGGTATTAAACAAGAAGATATTCACTACTGTAGGGTGAGGGGAAAACAAAGAGGGAAGAGAAGAAAGGAGAAGTAAGGATAAGGGTGGGAGAAGAATGCATATTTGAATTACTCTTACCTTTCTGTGAGCAATCAGGAGGCAATTGGAATGTTCGTGTTCACAAGCAATCTCATAGTTGGGGATCAGATCCACCAACTCATGTACAAAGCGTACCACTTCCTCATGCCAGGGCACATTAGCCATGGTGAGACTGCTTGCTGAACTCTCTCCACAGTAGGTAACACCCTGTGGAGACATTACAATAGTTAGAGACAATTACAGACCCACTGACATGTCAGCAAGGTTCAGAGCCAGAAAGTCTTCTGGAGGGAATCCAATCCAATCCCACCAGTATTTTAAAGTGGAGAAAGTGATACAGAGATGACGAAACTGCTTAGGAGCTAATACACGTCGTCAGTGACGGGAGCAGCACCAGAGCTCTCAGGTCGATCCATGCTTTCACTGACAGTGCTGGGGCTCGGGTACCTGTGCTTTGTGTCACTTCACAGTCCACGCTGTCCAGTCACAATAACATATTTGAACCAGTAACATCTTTCCATTCAGATACATTTGGGCACTATAACAGATTAATTCTCAAGGGACTACAGTCCCCCAGTATAATCATAGTTGGCACCCATAAAAATTAACTGAACAATTTATTCACAGGGAAAATAAAGTGAGCTCCCATTTTCCAGTACAGTTTAGATTTGAAGTTGGTAAAGTTTCTGTTAAAGGCTGGATAGGGATCCCATTATTATTTTTTTTTTTTCTTTTTTTAATTCTCACCCGAGGATATTTTTCCATTTATCTTTAGATAGAGTGGCAAGGGGAGTGCGGGGGGGTGGGGGGGGGGCAGAGACAGAAAGAAACATTGATGTGAGAGAGACACATCAATTGACTGCCTCCCCCACAACCCAACCGGGGCTGGGGACCAAACCAAAACCAAGGTATGTGCCCTTGACCAAAATCAAACCTGCAGCTCTTTGGTCCATGGGCCAATGCTCTAATTACTGAGCCAAACCGACCAGAGTTATTTTTTATTCTTCAATGATATCACTTTGTAATGCATTTTGTATATGGAGATACACACACACACACACACACACACACACACACACAGAATTATGCCAAATAGGAAATACTTCTGTGGATATATACACATACATTTAAGCAGGTCTACATGTATTTCACCTCTATAGAAATTCTCATTCAGTGAGATAATTTTGGTTCTGTTTTGAATTCTACTGACATCCCAGTCATATAAAACTAAAAAGTTTCATAACTAAGTTCTGATTACATAATGAGAACTAATTTTCTAGTACCTCAGAACCAAACATTCTTGACAAATAGTTTGAATATTCTAGCTACTACGTAGGGAACACTGAAATAAAAAACATGCACCACTCACACCCTCTCTCTCACACACAGACACACAACATATTAAAGGGGGTAGAAGGACATTAAATGAAAGCCCACAAATGAACACTGTAGATTGACCCTGACCCTACAGATGGCAGAGTTGGAACTTGGCCGAAAACTCGGATGAGCTATGCAAAAATCCCTGTTCCAGATGGCCGTTCAAAAAGATTGCTGGTATAGTAAACTGAGAGGACCATTGCTGAGCAGAAACCTTAGGTGACCCAGCTTAGTTATAATAAAGAAGAGAATCTTCTCTATTAGCCCATTAACGTACTGAATTCATTACACAGAGTCTGAGTTGTGGTGAATTAAAAAAGCAAATAGTTTAAAAAGATCTGAAAGAAAGCATGGCTGAAAAATTGTGCAAAACATACCCGAATGTTTAAAAGCCATGAAAATGATTTATTGATAGATAAATTGGTCATAAAAATAAACTTTATTTCAATTTAAACACTGTTTATGATGTATGAACTTTATGAACAGCCATGTACAGAGTAGTGAATTCAAGGGAATTTCTTTTCAATATTTAAAAAGTTAGTTCATTGATGCATAGGTTTTAGATAAGATCTTATATTCATGACAATGGCTTTGGAAAACATTTTAATATTTCTTATTCAGCAGTAATAAATCATGAAATATTAAGGAGAGATCTGGCTTGGAAATGAAATTAAAGAATGAATACCACAGTTCATTATCATGCCTTCACTTAATACTTCTCCATATAACCACATGACGCTTTACAGCACTTCCACATAAAAGTTCTCATTTTAGCCAAAAGAAACCCTCTGAGGTAGGTTGCACAGATGACTTGAACCATCCACAGAGCCTGCGTCGTCACCGTGACAGAAATGTTACCGGCAGAAACTGGTTTCAGTGATTAGTCTGTGGGGTCACATTCGGGAACCCCTGAGCCCTCACTCAGTTTGGCTCCTAATGCCTCCCCTCTTTGGTGCCCTCTGCTTTGGCTACTTAACTTCTCCCAAACTCTAGCCTACCTGTCTTGACTTTATTCCTGGGCACACTTAACCCTGAACTGTCTAAGAACACTTCATTTTCCCTCACATTATGGCTGCCTGCTACCTTCTCATCCCACCACTACACCCTGCCCCCTTCCCACTTATCACCAGCATCAGGTTTTTCCCTTACAACTCTGAAAAAAGAACAACCTAAAAAAACAGATGGGTACAACGTGGCAAATGAAAAGCAGTCATTCACTCCAGAACGTTCAGGTTGAGGAGTAACAACAAGCAGACCCAAAGAAAGCTCCGAAAGAACAGGACCATTGATGCATCTTCAGATTTCAGTGAAAAGCACAACCCACACCATTACACTGGTGCCTTTCTGATGGATCTCCCCGCTCTGGGTGATGGGGGCCACAGGTCTTTTTAATGGGCTCCTCAGAAATTTTACCTGGGGACTCAAGGTCTGTGGGTGAGCAGTATTTTGGCAGCTTGGCCATTCTAATTCAACTAACTGGGTGTCTAAAAACTCCTGATACTGTTAGTGTTCCCTACAGTTTGATGAGAAATGTCTTTATGACAATTTACAGCAATATACCCAAAATATGTCATTCTTATACCCTGAAAATGCTTCAATAGCTCCCCGAAATGAACAGCCCAAGCTTCTCAGCATGGCTTGGAGGCCTTCTTATCAGACCACCCCACTCAGCATCCAGTCCTGACTTGGCTAAATTGCCCATCTTCTCTTTAATCTTCAGTCAGGAAACCTTACCTCATCTGACCTCAGTGTCATCATATCTTGTGCATATCCTTACCAGATAACTGGAATAATATGTCTACATTCTGAGCCCATTCTTCTCTGGATCCCCAACCAATCTACACTGAATGACCTAAATTAAAGATCAAATAGTAAATTCTTCTCTGATAATAAACCCCAGAATTCACTTCTGATCTAATACAAAATTTCATTCCTGTTACTCAGAATTTCTCTACTCTTTAATGATCATGAACCAACTGATAAACATTAGTTAGGTATTACTATGTACATGAACCATTACTATTCTTCATCTTTTCATGCAGAAAGAGTGAGGTCACACTATATTTGTCTTGCTCCCTGGCCAGTTTGGCGCAGTGGTTGGAGAGAAAACCCTCAGACCAAAGGGTCATGGGTTTTATTTCCAGGCAAGGGCACATACCTGGGTTGCAGGTTCGATCCCCAGCCCTGGTCAGGGTGATGTGGGAGGTAATTAATCAATGTGTCTCTCTCACATTGATGTGTTGTTTTTTTTCTCTCTCTCTCTCTCCCTCCATCCCTCCCTCCCTTTCTATCTAAAAACCAATAGAAAAATATCCTCCGGTAAGGATTAACAAAATAAAGTAAAATAAAATATTTGTTTTGCAAGATGCATTCTGCAAGGATTGAACTTTGTAGACAGTTACGGTGCTAAGGATAAGAGAGTTTTAAATCATCTGACAACAAATAATTACTGAGCGCTCACTATTCTCAAGGTGCTACGCTAGCAGAGAACACAAAGACAGTATTTCATTTGTAAACAGATTGTGTTATGAAAGTTTTCAATGAAATAGATGTTTGTAACATGAAACATATTTTCACAAACAAGCAAGCCAATAATGATAGTTTAAGATTCTTCGGTTAGCAAATAAAGGACTACTTAAGCCTAATGAAGCTAAAATATGTTAATTTACAGGGGACATAACAGAAAAATATTTTACAAGGCTAGCAATGAAAGCAAAGAGGAAATCAATACAATAAAGAAATAGCTTCTATTGATTTAGTTTAAATAAATGTTCTTAATGGAAAGTGAGTTAAATGTTTACTGAATCCAAACATACCCATTAGCCCACTGAATTTCTCAAAACAAAGCTATTAAATTGCTATTATTCTAATTTTAATCTTAAAGAGGTTTAGACTCAAGGACGATAGTAAAATTAAGCCTTTCCTCCCCTTCTATCAAATAGAACATGGTTAACAACCTGATATATATCCTTCCATATATATCAGTAACAGATCAAGTTATAGAATAATATTTATTATTGATTACATTTAACGTATATGTTTAGATACAATTATATAAAAAAGTATAAATGTATCTAAACATATACATTAAATGTAATCAAATAGTAAATAATATTCTATAGCTTGATCTGTTACTTTTCTTTTAAATATGTTTTTATTGATTTTAGAGAGAGAGGCAGGGAGAGGGAGAGAAAGAGAGAGGGAAACATCAATGTGATCAATTGCCTCCTGCTTGGCCCCTACTAGGGATCGAGTCTGCAACCCAGACATGCGTCCTGACCAGGAATTGAACCGGCGACCTCTTGGTGCATAGGGTGATGCTCAATCAACTGAGCCACATGGGTCAGGACTTGATCTGTTTCTTAATAGCATACTATATTCTGTGAACATCCCTTTTCCTACCTCCGTTTAAAAGAAAAATATGTCATTAATTTGTCAGACAAATGATAGTTGAATTTTACCAAGTATGATCCAATCCCCAGTGGCCCAATACTTCAGACTGCGACACTGCAGGTCCTCTACCAGAGACAGGTTGATCATCACCATGCTGTCCCCCAATACAACACAAACTGTTATCTATCATATTACATTTTATCATTTAAATAAGGAGTTTTAAAATTATGATTAGATTACACATTTCTCCAAAAATTTTGAAATAAACTCTTTCAATGTAGCTCTATTACTTTTTTGTAGACTTTGCCTTGTTCAATAAGATCTATTTGCCAAAAGGCATATCCAATATCAAATTTTGTATTGCCTTGCTTTGACCAGGCCTGGCACATGGAGACAGCTCAAAAATATTTGTTGAATTCAGGGATAAAATAGTAAAATAAAAATATTGTTTGAAAGAAACTATGTCATTATAACATCTCAGCTACAGACCCTACATTTTATCCATTTTCTAGTTATGTTCCTAGTTTGCCAAATCAAAAATTAACCATCAAAGAATTACACTATTTACACAGAGCAATCTTTATTTAAAAAGGAATATTGGTTGATTTTTCAAATTACAAAATATCTTGTTCATTACAGAAAGCATGAAATAAAAGAAAAGAAAAGAAGGAAAATGAAAATAGGTGACCATGCGATCCAGCCAAGTTGCTTTGTAACAGAGGTTTTACTGCAACATAATTTGAGGTAGCATTCTTTAATAGCTAAATCATAAATTAAAATACCACCAACCCCGGACGTTGACAAGATTTACTTAAGCCAACATATACATCTCAAATGTAGTCTGTATCTTTGTATCGTAAGTGTCATTAACAGCAACTTCAAAGAAGAGTCTTTGACCTGCCTACAGACAAAATGCCCCACAGTCAGACCGCAGTATTTCTCTCACATGTTCCCACTTCCAAACCCTCCAGAGCACGGTTACACAGAAAACTGAACTTACTAAAAGATGGCTGTAAAACTCTGAACTATCCTCTGATACGACAGAGAGTGCATACAACTTCATAAACATAAACTGAAGAGTGGAGCTTTCAGAGATTGGGTAACTTTTCTGATCACTTTCTCTCATTTTGTGGATCCTTCATTGTCCAAAAAAGCCATTTGCCTCTTAACACTCATTAGCTTTAACAACCATCTCATGCTGATGACTTCCAAATCATTATTGCCAGCCCTGTCTCATCACTGACCTCCAGACTTACATAACCTATGGCCTATTTGAATCCATACTTGGATATTTAAAAAATACCGCAAATTTAATAAGGTCAACATAGAATGCATGAAATTACTCCCAAACGTACCTCTCTCCTGCCCTGGCCCTTGCATCCCAGTAAACTGTTCCACATGCACACAGCTGTTTACACTAAAAACCCAGTGCTGGTCTTCATTCCTTTCATTCCTTTACTTCCTACGCACCATCTAGCAATAAGTTCTGTTGGCTCTACTTCCAAATTTATCCCAAATGCAGTCACACTTCTCCAATTATACTACCAATGAACTTCCCAAGCCATCACATCTCTTCCTTGGATTAAGCACTAGCTTTGCAAGTGGTCTGCCTACTTCTACTACTGCCCTCTCTACTCTATTCATGACAGCAGCAAGGTGATGGTTGTTTTGTTTTGTTTGTTTGTTTGTTTATCCTCACCCGAGGACATTTTTGCATCTATCTTCAGACAGAGCAGGAGGGAGAGAGGGAGGAAGAGAGCAAGAGAAACATCGATGTGAGAGAGATAAATCGAGTGGTTGCCACCCACATGACCCCAACCAGGGCTGGGGGCAAACCGCAACCGAGGTGCCTGCCCTTAGCGGGAACCGAACCCAGGCCTCTCCAGTCTGCGGGCTGACACTCTAACCACTGAACTAGCCAGGGCTGATATTTTAAAATCATAAATCAGACACATTACTCACCAGCTCAAAACCCTTTAGAAACACCTAGTATAAAGAAAAGCTTACCATAAAACTTCATATAAAATCCAATGCTCTTATCCTTGCTTCAAAGGTCTAACAGAATCTGGCCCAGCCCACCTCTCTGATTCATCTTCTGTGACTGTCAATTCCAATCACCCCACAGAGTTCATGTAGGACTTCTGTACACTATCTGTGCCATGTGCCAGAATGTTCTGACCCCAAGCCTTTGCATACTGTGTTGCTTCTTAGTATTTAGGTCAGTTCTGAAAAAGTCACCTTCTCAGAAAAGGCTTCTAGCTTATGAAATCTAGAAGGGCCTATCGCCATGTCTAGCAAAACAATATATGCACTTACCCTTTGATATATCAGAACACTTATAGGAATCCACCCCAAAGAAACAATGGCAAAGCCCTAGCCAGTGTGGCTCAGTTGGTTGGAGCATTGTCCAGTACACCAGCAGGTCACAGGTTCAATTCCCAGTCAGCACACATACCTAGGTTGCAGATTCAATCCCTGGTCAAGGGGCATATGGGAGGCAACCAATTGATGTCTCTCTCTCACACTGATGTTTCTCTCTCTTTCTCTCTCTCTCTCTCCCTTCCTCCCTCTCTAGAATAATAAAAAAGAAACACTGGTAAAAACATGACACAAGCAACCAGACATTACATGCCTCCTGCTGGAAGTATACAATACCACCAGTAAAATAATCCTGAAATGTAAACACAAACACACACACACACGCACGCACCTGATCAATCTTCTCTTGATCTATCTACCAATCCATAGGAAATATAGGAAGCAGAGAAAAATGCAATCAGCAGAATCTAAAATATAAATATGGGGGTCTGGACGGTGTAGCTCCACTGTTGAGCATGACCCACACATCAGGAGGTCACTGGTTCGATTCCTGGTCAGGATACATGCCCACATTGTGGGCCTGATCCCCAGTGGGGGGCATGCAGGAGACAGTCAATTGATGTTCTCTCTCTTGATGCTTCTATCTCTCTCTCCCTCTCCCTTCCTCTCTCTCTCAAAAATCAATAAAGGGGGGAAAAAATTTAATAAAATAAAATATAAATATGGGGAACTAGCCAGGATAATCATTTTCTTCAACAAAATAAATTACAATGGGGGAAAAGACATATGGAAGAGAAATTAGATTAAAAGAAATTTAAGATAAAAATAATGCATTTACAATAAATGGCCCTTATTTGGATCCAGATTCAAAAATTCTGTGAAATAATTGGTCCTGTTTGAAACCTTATATGTTCCAATATGTAAAAGTTATTGTTAAAACTGTTTAGTTATGAGAACAGCATTCTGAATTAGTGTTTAAAATGAGTGCATATCTTTTAGAGTTATATATTTAAACAGTTATGGATCAATGATATAATGTGGGGTTTCACTTCTAAATAATATCGTTAAGGCTAGAATGGATAGGGATCTAGCTGAAAGATGAGTTGATAAGTTTTGAAGCTGGGTGATGGATGAATGGGGCTCATTAGACCAGTCTCTTCACTTCTTACATGTTTGAAGTTTTCCATAATAAAAATTTATTTAAAAGACAACCAATTACTCATTATAACACTTTTCTTTCTCAGCATATTAAAGTTACTACAGTTAACCCTTGAACAACATGGGTTTAAATTGCATAGGTCCACTTATGGGCATATTTTTTCCTCAATAAATACTGTCAGTGTATTTTCTCTTCCATATGATTTTCTAAATAAAATTTTCTCTCCTCTAGCTTACTTTATTGTAAGGATATAGTATATAATACATATAACATAAAATATGTTAATCAACTGTTTATGTTATTAATAATTCTCTGGTCATAATAGGTTATTAGTAGCTAAACTTTAGGGGAGTCAAAAGTTAGACATGAATTTTCAAGGGTGTTCCTAACCCCACATAGCTCAAGGGTCAACTAATATAGTTTTTAATTATTCAGTTTGTGTTGACTGTCTGTCTACCTCTCCCTAAAACAATAGTTTTGTGAGAACAAATGCTTAGTCTTTACTGCAACTACACTCAATGACTAGAACAGTGCCAGGTTCTTAATATTTCTGAATGAATAAATATAACATCTGGGACCTCCTACAGAATCTAAAAAAATTTAACTCTGGGACGGTCAACAAAGCATCACAGGAAACATGCACAGCAGCGGCCAGCAGGGGCTCACCTTCACTTCGATGAAGTCGGGACTCCCTAGAGACACCAGCTCAGCATAGGCTTGGAGTTCATCCACATTCCATGCTTTCACTAGAGTCAGTCTGTAGACAGTACGCTGTTGCTAAAACAAAGGAAAAGTCAACTTTGTTTTTATCTTGGTAGAAGTTACACTTAGGAAGACTTTCAAATTCCTTCAACCCACAGAGAACCCAGGTAAGGTGAAATCCAGCATGAATATATAAATTGAAATTATATTTTATAAAAAGATGAAAAGAGTGGAAAATAAAGTAATAAGATTCCCTTATAAAGGCAAAGATACTGGCATATTTCTTTTCTTTCACTCACAAAATCTAACACTAGTAGGCACCCAAAAGTTTCTTGACAAATACACATTGAATTAGATTTAGTAAAGAACAGTAAGTTGCCAAATAATTTTAGACTATCAAAAATTAATTCAAATAACCTTCAGGCTTTCAGGTACCAATCACTCACATTGGTTATTAAAAGAATTTCTAATTATTCTTGTCCTCTTTCCTGCTTTCTCATTATTTAATGATCTCTTGTCGGCAGAACAGGCATATTTATGAACTACCAATGTTGCCATTTGTTTACCACATAACCCAAAGAGATACCAGTTTCTGAAAAGCAATTAGACAATAGTCATCAAAGCCTTTAAGAATTTTATACCCTTTCACTTTGTAGCTCCCTTCCAGGACTCAAGACAAATTAAAAGTTCAAAGACTTATTTAAACATCTCAGAACAACATTACCAATGACAGTTTAAAATCTATAGCAAAGGTGGGGCCAGAACCTGTGATTTGCCTATAACCAACAGAATATGGCAAAGGTAAAGTGATGCGCCCTGGCCAGTTTGGCTCAGCGGTTAGAGCGTCGGCCTGCAGTGCAGAGAGACCCGGGTTCGATTCCCACTAAGGGCACATACCTTGGTTGCAGTTTGTCCCCGGCCCTGGTTGGGTCGTGTGGGAGGCAGCCACTCAATGTGTCCCTTTCACATTGATGTTTCTCTCTCTCTCTCTCCCTCCCGCTCTATCTGAACAAAAAATGGAAAGATGTCCTCGGATGACGATAAAAAAAAAAAAGTGATGCGTGTGTTTGTGTGCACATGATTACATCCAGTCATCCACAGCACAGTCCCAGGTGATACCCATGCTGCGAAACCTCAAACCATGTTTTAAGTAGTGAAGCTCAAAATACTCTAGAGAAAAACAAAGTGAGGTAAGAGAGGAACAAAATGATAATCTCTCTACTTTCGTCTGTTTGAAGATTTCCATAATTAGTAAAAGAAACATTTGAGATCTTTAATAAAGAAAAAAGAGAGAGAGATTTAACAAACAGTATTAAGCAGCCATACCAGAAAATGTTCTCGAAAATTCTTTTTATAATGCAGTATACAATGCATGACAAGACAGAAATCATCCAGGTTCCTTTACAGAGCTAGAATTCACCCAATGCCAAAACCTAACAAAAATGGTAGAGAACTGCAGACCATTACACTTCTACTTATATATGCAAAAATCTTATAGAAATTTTAGCAAATAAAATTCAACATGTTAAAAATTCTAGGAATGCAGAGAGGATTCAATATTAGTCTGTATATGAATACAATTCATTACATTAATAGTTCAACACAGAAAAGCCATGTGATCATCTGCATAGATACACAAAGCCATTTGATATAGCTTAAAGCCATCCCTAATTTATATAAAGGGTGTGTATTTAATTTTGAAAACAAAACAGAATATATCAAAATCCATTTGGTAAACTCAATAATTAAAAAACACATCCTTAACATAAAACAGTCTTCAGTCAATAGTCAATGTTTTTAGTGGTTTAAAAAATAGAGGCATTTCCGCTTAGACTAGCAGAAGAATGTCCACTTTATTATTTTTATGAACACTTCTCTGAAAGCAAGAACAAGAATTATTGAATAGTATACAAAAAATAATAATTACTTACAAATGATATAACTGGCTTCTTGGAAATATAAGAAAATTAACTAAAAATCAGATTAAGGGAAAGTAACCAGTTACCAAATAAAAAGAAAAAAATAATAAAATGAGCAGCTTTCCTGGCATAGAGTAGTGGGGTAAAGCTGGACTCTGGGGCCATACTGAATCCCAGGCCATGAGCTAACTATCTTTAATCCCTGTTCTCAGTTTCTACACAGGATTAAAAGTGTTAATCCATGTAGCACTTAGAACTAGACCTGAAAGCAGTCAGTCATACCAAGTATTAGCTACTATACACCATTATAGGCTACATATACACTACATGGACAACTACAAAATACAAGGCAAAGAAAATTCTACTTACAATTATAAAATACATCTTCTATAAAATGATTAATTTATGAAATAACATGGACAGTGAATAAAATACACTTTTCTGAGAGACCATAACAAAAACTCGCCTGCATGGAGAACCATGACAGATGTATAAACATAATGTTATTCCAAAAGAAGCTTAAAATTCCTTCGATCAAATAAGCTGGCAATGATATCAACAATAACAACAATAGCGGGAGTTAGCAATGAGTCAGAACTTACTATGTGCCACCTGTTGTTGTGATTAATACCTTAGCAAAAATTCCAATATTTATCTAATCTTTACAACAATTCTTACAAAATTACATTACAGATATGAAATTGAGACCTAGAGCTCTTACTTTTTTTTTTTAATCCTCACCTGAGGACATTCTTGCATTTATCTTCAGATAGAGCAGGAGGGAGAGAGGGAGGAAGAGAGAGAGAGAAACATCGATATGAGAGAGACACATTGAGTGGCTGCCACCCACACGACCCCAACTGGGGCCGGGGACAAACTGCAACCGAGGTACATGCCCTTAGCAGGAACCAAACCCAGGTCTCCTCTCTGGTCTGAGGGCCGATACTCTAATCGCTGAGCCAAACCGGCCAGGGCAAGGCCTAGAGCTCTTAAATAAATTTCCCAAAGTTACACAGCTGGAAAGCAACAAAACCGGGGTATGAACCCAAGTGGTATGAATCCAGGGTAGACTCTCTTACTTTGCTAAACATTTTAAAATTCTAAAATAAAATACAAAGAGAAATGTACATAAAACATGAATGTATAGCTCAAAAAATCAACATAAAATACCCATCATCTAGTCACTATCTACTCCCTTTGCCCCAATATATTTAACATCCTAACTTTAACATTACAGTTTAGATTTTTACCTATGTTTGAAATTTATATAAATGGAACCATATATTCTTTTATGTCTTGCTTCTGTCATTCAAAATTGCAAATTCTTGATGCACAAGAGCACACATTTTTCTTGGGTGTACACATTCAACTTCAGCAGATATTACCAAACTGGTTTTCAAAGTCCTTTGACCACATGTACACCTGAAGTGTATCGGAGTTCCAGTTGTTTCTTTTCTTCAACAACAGTTGGTGTTGTGAGTCTTTTAAATTTTATCCCCTCTTGAATTGTTTGATTCTGTATTTGCCTGATTACTAATGAAGTTGAGTATGTTTCTGGCCATTTGGACATCTACTCTTGTGAATATATCTCTTTTGGGATGTCTTTTGCCTGCTGATTATTTTTTCAAATTCTTTATATATTCTGGATATAAGAGCTCTGTTATAAATGTATTGGGAATAGTTTCATCCACTCTATGGCTTTCCTTTTCATTTTCTCCATATGTTTCGATCAATACAAGTAAGTAATTTTAGTACAGTTACTTTTAATATATAGCATATTTATGTTAGACTGCCAAAGACAAAGAGAAGCACTATGGGATTATTGAAAAAAAAGAATGTTATTAGATTTTATTTGATTTCAAATTATCAACTTCACATTCTGAGTCTCCCTGAATCTGTGGGGACCTTGCTCAATGAAATGGTTTCAGAGACTTTACTTAAAGTCTGTTTAAAGTTAGTTAAAGCAGTTCCTAAAGTCTATAGAACAGGAAAAAGGTGTTAGAATCCAATTCGATTAGATTAAAACAAAAACTGGGTGCAGATGTTACTTGAAAGGTGAGAGCTGGAATTTCCTTTGCAAATATAAATAACACTGTGTTATTTATATAAAATATAAAAATTTATATAAAATAACAGTGTTATTTTATCCTTTTTACTAAAAAGAAATAAATGTACTACAAACTGAATTATAATAATTTAATTTGAATAAAAGCTATTTTTTTAGTTTGAGAATTCAGTTGGTAATTTTAATTTGCATGTGTTCTAGGTTGGTTATTACTGCAGGATTTTCTGAATGTGGCATATTATCTAACAGGACCAGGGATAGTGTAGTACTATGGAAAATAAAAATGAGAATGAAAGTATTTTTAACAGTTGAGTTACTTGCTGGTCAGGCTACAGTGTGATTTGTAAAATGTCATAATGTGATTTGTAAAAATTGTCAAGTTGGCATATTATAATTTCATGTATTTTCTGTTTGAGAATCTAAGATTTCTTCCTCCAGCAGTGGGCATTACACAATAATATAGGGGAGGAAGGGAGAGATGTCTGAAAGTAACAATACATTAAATGTGCAGCTGGGGACTTCCGGTCAAGATGGCGGGTAGGTAAACGCAGTATCGCGTCCTCCCACAACCACATCAAAGTAACAACTAAACTACAGAACAACCATCATTCAAAACAGCCTGAAATCAAGTTGAATGGAAGTCCTACAACTACGAAATTAAAGCAGCAGCTACATCGAGACTGGTAGGAGGGGCAGAGTAGGAGGGGCAGAGTAGGACGGGCTGGTCCCACACCCACGTGTTGCGGATAAAAATCAGGAGGATACCTCGGCTGGGAAGGTCCTCCCTGCAGACTGAGGGGTCCCAATCGCACACCAGACGCCCCACTCAGGGTTCCAGTGCCAGGAAGAGAATCCCCATAACTTCTGACTGGAAAAACCAGCGGGAACTGAGACTCAGGGAAGCTGATGCGGCTGGAGCCCCAGGCAGCTCCTCTTAAAGGGCCCACACACGGACTTGTCGGATTCTCTCCCTCTAAGTTTAGACGGGAGGCAGCTCGAGGGTCACCAGAGACATACAGGGAAGAACTGAGCTGTTTGGCACTGAAGAGAGGGCTGGAGAGGGGGCTTTCTCCGGGAAAAACGTGCTGTCA